TAATGCATGTAGATGTTTAACAGCCATGTTTTTTTATTGAGGGGCCGTCTGAATCTTGTGTTGCTTTTCATACTGATTATTACAATATAGTGACAAGAAAGTGTGTTGTAATTCTGACACGTCCTATAATAATATAAATAAATTAGCTCGTGCCCTGCCTTCTATGGAAATGTGTCATCAAATAATGCCCCCTTTGCAGTCTTTTGTGGAGTGAGCCTTACCCCTGGTAAACGGTGAAAGCAATGGGATTTGTAGCAATTGGATAATAACCTTTTAACCACTGAGGAAATCAGAGTTTAAAGGAGGCCCTCCCCTGTTGGGGTGTAAAGTCTTAAGGGCCCCGGGCCTATACCTACAGCCTCTCCATTTCCTCTCACTTGAAGATACGTGCCTGGGGTACAAAGCAGGATCTGTTAGAATGAACGTGGATCCAATGAGACCGCTCTCTCTTCCCGCCCCGTAGGTTGGCCGTGCGTAAAAGTGCGCACAGGCCGTCTCCTTTTAATAAGAGGGCCGCCATTTCAGTCCCTGTCTGGCGACATGTGGGGCAGACGCTGACGTTACATTATTATTGTACTAATGATTAAAATTAGACCTAGGCGGTAAATTTACTTTTCTAGTTTTCTAGAAATATTTGATTCTTGACCCTCGTAGGATTTCAATATACGCCTTCCTAATACTAATGTCCTTTCTTCATTACAAAATAAAACCCACACAGGCAAATTGGATACCCTGACGCTAAAGTAGCCTACGGTCAGAGTCTCACTGAGACACCTTTTAAGTTCCAGCCTTGGTGCACATATAACCGAAACATTGTGTGTGTGCATCCTTGCAGCTTTAGGACCAAACAGCGAATCCGTGGCACCAGACCTCTTGACATATGCTTCATACGTTTCCAATTCAGTATAAAGTCGCAAAACGTATATCAGACATCACAAGCAGTATGTGTGAGGTACAAGCTTTGTGATGTTAAGGAAACCAATAAATGCATGTAATAGAGATAAAGCTTGAGGACTGAGGGGAGTATGAGGGGAGGGAGGGGAGAAAGATGGAGAGATGACCTCACATGGCATACTTTCGTTTTGACCTCAAGTGCCCCATCCTAACACAGGAAAAAGGTCTGATATTATGGACAGCAGGGCCTTGTTCTCCACGTGACAGATGACAGCCTAGTATTTCCTTGCTTATCATCGAGCGAAATGATTACAACAAGTCCGTTAGATCAGGCCTGAGAGAAGCAGCGAGGTTCACCTGGTCCGAACACAGCCAGGTTCCACATCCGGAAGTCCAGGACGGTTACTCTTCATGCAGTCCATGTAGGCCTACTTTATTTATTAGTGATGACTTTTTATATTTTATTAGCAAATGAAAACTTAAGAAGAGATACGGGAGCTTTCTCATTATGTTTACAGTCAGCGGGCGTGTAATAAACGAGCTGGTGGAGTTAACATGCGCTATTAATTTTTCATTGCTTTTTCGTTTCGAGGCTCGGGCGCAAAAAGCAAAAGCTTTCATGGTGGATGGAGGGAAGGGGAGGAAAGGAAAGAGAGAGGGAACACTTAAACAACAACACTGCCTCCAATTTGCCTTCAAATGATTATCACAACTCAACCACATTCTTACTGATGTTTTAAAAAGTATACACCCCCCCCCCCCTCTCCTTCCCTCCCATTTCCAGAGAGGTAATGAAATATGGTAATGGTTTGGACCCCCGGATTAAAGTCGTTTTACCCTGATGGAAGTTTTCTCCAAATGTTCAACCCTAAAGCAACAACAATTTGTATACATGATTGATTGTGTTTGGGTTTTTTAATTGCTTATGTATTTAATTTGCAAATCGGAGAGACAAGGGCGCGGCTGCAGTTTACTTCTGTGGGGAGAAAAGCGCTCGTTCTATATCTCAATAAATAAAAACAGACTCTGGCTGCAGAGGGAGAATGAAAAAAAAAAAAAAGAATACGAAAAATATTAAATATTAATAGGTTGAAGAACTCTAGACCCAAATACTCTGTCAATACAAAACATGTAGCCTATATTTATATTTATTGATGTACAGTATATCTGGAAAAGGAAAATACACACTTAAGAAATATAAATGGTAAAGAAAATAGCCAACAGATTTCCCAGTTTGCAGATTATATTTGTGCAGCAGTATCTTGTCACGATCTAACTTGGTTTTTCTGTAATTTATGGCCTAAATGGACATGGTCTTTGGTGCATGTTCCAAAAATATCTAATTTTGTAAAGGTTACTGTATTCTGGTCTATTTGTAAAAAAAAATATTATTAAAAATAAAACAGTCAAACTAGTCATTTGTCTCAGATTTGTGGGGCCCTCTAATTCATGAATCTCCAGTAAAGAGATGTGAAATATGAATGAGGATTAGTGTGTACTTCACTGTCAGTGGATTATAAAGCAGGGACGTGGAATCGATGAAGATTTATGAAAACATACTAAGGGTTGTACATCTTGGTAATGGAAAAATAATGTCATATTTTGTCTAACAGATCACAATCAAACAGTGATCCCTTATATGAAGGCCTGGATGTTTAACATTGTCTGTCGGTTTAGAGCCCCAATCGACTGTTTAAGTACAAATGGGTTGATTGTAAAGTTCTTGTCTTGCTTTTGCGCGTGTGTATATCTCTGTGCACGCACGAGCACACTGCCCAAGGTTGAACGCCCCCTCGTGGTTCATCTTGTATACACAGCCCAACACAGAAGCCTGCGAAAGAAAGCACCAAAAGAAAAATCTATTTTTTGACATGCATTTAAACAGAAAACAATACCTGACAAACATGTGTTTGTTTAATGAGGAAAACCTGAGTGTTCGAGCACACTGCAGAGTAGTCCATGGGGTAGAAATCCACGTAATGAAAAGAAGCTATAACCAATCATTCAAATCAGGAAATCTACAAATAAACAAGATCAGAAATGAAATAGACTCAATTATATCATACACTGACCTTTTCAGTATCAGATGAATTGCCTTGAGGTACATCAAACATGTACGTCCTGAGGATACCTGCAAACTATAAGAACAAGATATTGTTATTGTTGTTTTTCATTAGTGAGTAACTTGAATGATCCGCTTCCTGTGGTATTACAGGTGTCTTTGATTTGAATATAGGCTAATTGTGTATCTCCTGTATGGATACATGTTTTCTAAATTAATGTTTATGTGTACAGTATTAACACCGAGGAACTGAAATGATTAAATGTCTAGAAACAGGAAAAAGGGAAATAACACTTTTTAATTTGGCTCATGCTTTAGGCTATTTGTGTGTTTAATATTACAGGGGCGATGCTTATATGCCCTCTCAAATCAGGTGGGACGAACATGTAATGAATCCTTCTCTCTCTCTCAGTTTGGAGTGTAAATGCGGAGATCGCCAATTGCATTTAATTAAAAACGACATCCTTTTGGATCCGAATCAATTAGGTGATGAGTGGGAATGCATGTTTCATATGTTGTCTCCAAATCTCCCCAAGCTAAAGATTTATAATATTGTGTAAAAGAATGGAACATTATGCAGAAGCCTTTGTTTTCACAACTCTCGCTCCTGTAGGTTGAAGGACAATAAAAGCTGGTTTTCGAGGTGAATTTCAACTTAAATGTGTTTTCCGGAAATGCTGATGGCCTTTAAAACCTGCCTTTCTGCTCTCATGTATTCTTTCCCCTTATTCCTCCTTTATACCTATAGTAGGCTTAGGCTACATAAAGATGAACAGTTGCAGTTTGAGTTCCTGGGCATTCCCTAATTTATAAAGCCTTGCTGCAACTAAGCCTCATTTTTTAGTAATACTCAATTAATTAGCCATTTAATATTGACATGAATAAATTGAGCGCAAATGGGTATAAAGGCATTACGTTTTTTACTTCGTTAATTGAAAATTAAACATATGATCATTGACTCCCCGAGCCCTGCGTCGCTTCCCAGAGCCTCCCCATTGGTAGACGGACAATACATGTGGGGCATAATTGGCCCATGGGTTGCGCAACAGCCAATCAGCACGCACCCCCTCCCGATTGTACCTGGGGTTGGCTGTGACGTGGAGGCAAAGCTGCCGTCCTGATTCGCTGGATTCGTTGTGAGTGACAGGCAGCTGGCCGGCGCGTGTAGGTTAGGGTTCCAGGGGTTTGGAAGCGCGGGCGCTGTCCGCACGAGAGCAGGTCCTGAAACGCGGCGTGCGCCACCGTGGACGCTGGGCGCTGGCAGCTTAAAGAATTCTTTCAATCCAGGCTACAGATTTAAAGCACAATCCTTGGCGTGTTCGGCTGGTGAGCACAGAAAAAAACTACGTTGTGAATTTGGACAGGACTGTTTTCTTTTCCAACGCGAAAAAGTGCATCTCCAAACTCAAACCGGGAGTCCGACAGCTTGAGCAGCGAGTCCTTCACAACACAGAGGGGGGACAGATCCTAGTGACCAAGAACTGCCTTACTAACAGGATAACAACTCTCACCGCAGCCTCAGAAGCTTTACGCAAACCAGAGAGTTTGGTATTTAATTTTCCTGCTGCGTAATTTTCTGTATTGTCTTTCTTTTTCTTTTGGCACGGTGGATATGAGAATTCAAGATGTGAGCACGTATCCGCTCTCACTCGCTTTATTGATGGGAGATTCCTCAGTGTGAATGTGAAAACTACTGCCGAGGACGATTTCTGACAAGAGAATTTTCAGCAAATATCCTGGAAGAACAATAACCGTGGATCTGTAAAGATTTGTTTTTGTTTCTTCGATCTGGGTATTGACATCGTCGTTGCATTTAAAACAAATATATTTTAACAGACTGAAAGGAAAAAGTTCAGACCCCCCCCCCCCCCCCCCCCCCACCGGCTAAGTCGCAGTTCAGGGGTCACGGTCAGCGGACCGAGAAGGAGAGAAAGGAAGGAGGCTACTTTGTTTGCTCTCCATATTTTTGTTTAGCAAAACTTTGAATCGTTTTTTTTTAACTGAGGCGACTCGGTGTAGACTAGCAGCTTGAGGGGATGAGCACTATTGCTGTCGTTCCCCTCCTCTGGTTTGGGAGACGCCAGGACAGACCCGGTGTCCCGTCCCCATGAGGGGGGAGCCCGTCTGTGATTCATATTTTTGACGCCTTTTCATTCTTCCCTTCTACTTGAAAGTCTCCAATTTTCTATTTTTTTGCAATATCTTTTTTATTAATTTGATTCAAAGTACAACTTGTATCACATTGTCAAACATTTCTTTTTATTAATTAAGAGGGAAATACCCTCCCTTTGAAGGGGAGGATATTTGGACGTACACCCATACGTCCATTTATTGGAGGTCACGGTGTGAAGTGGCTGACTGAAGCTGTGTGTCCGGTGGCATTTTTAGACCCCTCACACCGTACCGGGGCCCTGCAGCCCTACAGCTTAACGATGGAGATTCATTGTAAGCACGACCCGTTTGCGGCAATGCACAGTAAGTTTATACTTTCATATATTCCCCCTGCCCCATCTGCCATAAACTGAATCTAACCCCCCACAGTTCTGTGTGCATATGCAATCATAACAGCGGAGTAGTAGCGTTTCCTGCACCATACACTCCAAAAAACCCTGCTTGCCTTGAGTCCTAAATCCTAATCTTTCACTGGAAGGACATCTAAAAGTCTCAAATAAATGCTAAAATAATACAAGCACTTGCATTTCGCAAAGGAAGTCTTTTTTTGAAAAAAATTCGATATATAATTCATTACATTTGCAATCATCTATATTATTATTTTTAATCAAAAGGAATCCGTTGTGAAATTTAGAAAATTCATCGAGCAAGTGAAAATGTATTTCATGTATTATAACGAGTTGTTACTAAATAGGCCATTGAGTTGGTTGTTACATTTAATGTCTTGTAAGAAGATTGATCTTTTTTGCAGTGTTTACAGTCTGGATATATGCAAAAGTTATAGGGCCTAAATTATTATATTTTAAAGACAATTTCTGGTTTGTGAATTTGCTTTTTATCATTACTCTTGATTGTAAGTCCTGTCTCTTACAATATGTTTTAACAGGTGTAGATTAATTGAGCAAAGGACGTGGAATTTAAGTGTTTTTTGAAAAGTGAAATGGATTTTATTCCAGAGTATGATAGATGTTTGCTGTATTTGTTGGTGCCTTGTGTGTGAAAAGGTTTGCTGTGTTTCCTTCGACGAAGAGGAGCATGCAAGGGTCAACGGGAGAGAGAAAGCGAGAGAGGGGGGGGGGAGAAAGAGAGGGAGACATATATATCATATGGTTAACAAAGCATGACTAAAAGCTGAACTTGATCCACAAACAGTAACAGTGTTTCCAGCACATAACCAGGTTAGACCGACACTCGCTGCACCTTACGCGCACAGATGCAGGCGAGAGCTGCTCGTTTCTTATAATAACAACAAGGTGAGACTCTGTTGATCCCCCGCAGGGAAATTCTCCTCTCACTGCCCAGCAGGTCAGAGCTGCACAGGTTCAGCCTCACAGCATGCTGCAGTGTGTTGCTCAAGGACACTTCAGCAGAGCAGGTGCTTGGGGACACGCAGTGTAGGCTAGATGAAGAAAGGGGGGGGGGGGGGGGGGACAACTTGTTCATTCAGTCGTGACATGGCGGGCCCTGCTTTGTTTTCTAGTCCATTTTACCTCCCCAAATTCTAGCTAGGGTCACGAATTTATTGTATTGCAGCACAACTGTTAATATCAATAATAAGTCCTTAAAAAAAACAATAGTTCATACCGATTATAGAATCTGAAAGTAGCCTATATCAAATGTAAAGTTAAAATCAACTCCGAACATTGTCTTTATTGGAGGCCCAGATCCTGAGACATGAATACATTAAGAACTTTACAAGCTTAATTAATAGCATATTAAAGATGTTGAACCCGTGATTTTAATAATCCCCATATTGGCAACTGCAATGTGTGTTAGGGCTGCACGTCTTTTTTTGCTTTTGCACTTAAAAACTGAATAAAGCGACTATAAAGCTTTCCAGCGTGTAATTGATTATGCATTATACATATCTTAATGCAGTTTAGTCCCGGAGAGAAGCCGTGTTATGTGACTGACAGCGGTTCCCACGGTGCGTTATCCTGCAGGATTACAAAAAAGAAGCTGCACACACACATCCAAAAACAACTAGAACGAATCATGTTTCCTCTTCCATGCCGTTTCCCCAGAGCCAATGAACCGCGATGCTTACGGTATAGCAGCGGAGCTAAAGTTATATATGTCAAGCCCGGAAACGCTTTAAAACGATTACACGTAAAAAATGTCAAAGCTAGAGAGAGAGGGGTTGGGAGGAATCGACTGTGACACGTGGAAATGTGGTTGGCGAGTGTGGATATGTGTGTGTGTGTGTGTGTGTGTGTGTGTGTGTGTGTGTGTGTGTGTGTGTGTGTGTGTGTGTGTGTGTGTGTTACATTTTCAACTTCAGTCTTTGCTACAGTCTTTGTAGCACGTGTGTTGATGAATTATGGCCTAGGCTACTGAGCCTACATTTTTCTTAATCTAACAAAAGTTATTAAGTGATATACAGTCCAAAACTTTGCACTTTGTGCGTGTGTGTGCTTAAAGCTGGCAGGTATTTCCTCATATTGTTTCGATCCTACAAGGTTACTTTATGTTTGAGTAGACTATTCGTTATCTATGTTTTTGAGTGTAAAGATGTTAAAAAAGGAAAGAAAATAAAAACCTAATATCTATGGTTGATTTAATTCGTTATAATTGGTTATATATTTGCAAACTTTGTAGCGTGTTTTGAACCCAAAGCAACAATAAATAGCAGTCATAATTTAAAAATCTAAGCAGGTAATTGTGATGATAATGAGCTGAATTTCATAACCACGCATTGTAATGGTAATGCTGGCATGCTGAATACTAAGCAGGCGAGGCTGTGGCCTACCTTGATGACCTACTCGTGAGTTTAAAAAAAACATATAGTAGGCTACGTAAGTCTCTGGAATGAAAAATATACATCTTAATCTATAAATAAAACTGAAGTAAATAAATGGTTAGCTATGTGCTTTATTTGTTTGCCTTAAGGATTTAAAAAATAGCTGCAAACAGTCTTCTTTTGGTACAACATAAGTACGCTTATACAAATCTGACCGTTTATAAACGAGATTCCCTGAATCCCATTTCGCTGACAGAATATTAATTGTTCCAGCTTCAGGGAGAAACATAACACTATACGTCCAAAACGCCTGCCTGGCACATCTCGCAGATCTATTCACTGTTTGCTCAAGGAAATGTGCTTCATCTGTATTCTTGCGGGCAACTTTCCAAACAGGTTTTCACCAAAAAGTAATTTCTAGTCCCCCTTTTCTTTCCTTTTATCCAAGAGACAGAGGTAGAGAGAACCGTTGGCGATTTGTTGCGATTTCTCTCTTTTCACTTTATTTTTGAGTCGTCAGGCCGTGACGAGGCAGATGAGAGATGAGGAAGAAGAGAGAGAGAGAAAGAGAGAGAGAGAGACAGAGAGCCTAATGGACTTTATTTTCTGGATGGGGGAGCTCCAATATATTCTGCTTTATCTCTGTATTCTTTCCTCCCGGAAACAGTGAATCAATCAGACATTTAAGGAGGTGCTGGGTTTTAAAGTCAGCTCCTATAAAGAGTAAATAAATAAATCACAACAGGGCTGCATAATGACCCCTGGTCCCCTGGCTGTCTGTCCCTCTCTGATTCCGTTTCTCCGGGATAAAAATGAAGCTGCTGTCTGTGCCAACACTTCCCCCTCTAGAGAATAGGTTCAGCTTTTAAAGAAAGACCTTTAAAAGCCAAAAGCTGCTAATTTGGCAGAATCTTTGTATCTCATTTGCAACAAAACCTCAGGAGCAGGCCAATGTTGATTGAATTTCTGGGAGCAAGTGGTTCATTTGGTTGGTCAGTGTGATGAATTACTGGACCTCTGTCCCTAAACTCACACAGCTGTGAGGCGACATCTGTCCTGATTCCTTGTGACCTATTAATAAATATAATTTTAAGCATTTGTCCTCAAAAAAGGGATAGATTCCTCTCCAAATACAAAGCAATTTCTGTCTATTTTCCTTTTATAATGATAAAAAACTGCAAGATCAAAGTTGATCTGCCTCTAGCAGGTCATTTCCGAAGGCTAATACTATGCTTGTAAACACATGGCGGAGTCTTTAAAATGCTACCCATTTAGAGAATTATGCGACAGTGTCCGATAAACAAATGCCTTTATAGGACGTGAAATTTATTGCGTTTGGTCCTATCAGTATTTATAGGCTGGCAAAATAAATTTCTAACACATAATCCCCACAACCTACCTCAAGAATAGTGAGAGTCTGAACGTCTAATGCCAACAGTAAATACACAGATAAGTGAATAAATAGTTATCTGGAGGTTTTGTAGGTCACAAGTCATTCCTCTCCATCTCTTTACAAAGCAAGGCGTATTTCATGCCCTGGCCCAGATAGGAAGGGTGAAAGGAACCATTTCATTTACTCTTATCTGAGAAAGAGGGGGAGAGAGAGAGGGGGAGAGTCTTCTCTGCAGATACCTGTAGGGAGGAGGACGAAGCACATTCGGCTTCTATAAACGTCCTCGCAAAAACGGTGCTTTTATTCATCGAAGGGTTTCAGGACATAATAATAAAGAGAGGAGGGAATAATGCCTTCACACAGCTATACAAAACACAGAGAGTGAGAGAGTGTGTGTGAAGGACTTCAATGTGTCCATGTAGGTCAGCAGGCTTGGTCTAGCTTTAAGGAAAGGGAAAGTGTGTGTGAGTTTTCGCTCTGTATCCTATCTCAGTGGGACATTACATTCATAATTTTCAGAAAAATCAAAAGGGACACAAAAAACATGTTCAACAATGGTGGGGTTAAGGTGGGCTAAGCTTTAGGCGTTGACCATGAACGACAACCAGTCCAAACGGGGACTTCTTATATATCAACTTTCAATTAAATACACGTCTAAAAAATATATGTTTCAGGATAAAAGACAGTGGGGTTTGGTGGGGTGCCTCCCAGTACATTCACTGAAATGAGGATCTAATGGTAGAGCGTGTGTTCTGCTGTACACATTGTAAAGAGCTTTGAGACAGATTTGAGGACTGGTTAACATAATAACTGTGACTTTGGGCCATGCATGTTAACACATTTGACTTGACTCTTCACCCTGACCTAACTGGCTCAGAATTAGAGTAGTACCTGCTCACATTTTAAATGAAAAACACCAGCAGGTTCACTCACTAACTGGGAACCAACACATATGTGGGACAGTAACAGAACACCATTCTTACAGATATGTTTCTGATGTAATTTCAAACATCAGTGAATCAACATCAATTACTCTGTTAACCGGTCAACAAAAACTATAAGGGCATAATGCCAGTGTCTCCCTTAAAGTAGTGTTTCTGATAAAGTGTTCAATCCCAAGATGGGATGATTGACAACATCATGAGATCCTTTTGTTCAGGACTTGACAAACTGAAACAACAAGCTGAGTAATATTCCTGCATGATGAATACAATGATTTTAGTGAGCCAATGTAATGCCCCTGTGCCACCACAGCCATGCCAACACACAACTGAACAATTAAACCCCATCTTTAAATGAATTAGATATCTACTTTAATTAAGTTTATTTGATAATAACTTTCATATGCTTTTACTACAACTGATGTGACTCTATTGTCTTAAGAGGTAATGCTGGTTATTGCATTTCATGCCAATTTAGCATCGGGTTAGGCCAGCTTTCATTGACATTGCATAAATATGACTGTCTAGATATTGGTGTGTTTTGTAAAGAGCGATTGCTTTTCACATTGTGCTGTCCACAGCAGGCATCTGCATAATGAGGCTTCTTCTATCCTAAAAAAATAAAGTAGTAAGGAAGAGAGTGGCCGCCCGCCTGAGCTGTTTGGAAATAGCTTTGTTTGAATTCACAGAATGAGACTGTAGCCTTCACACTTCTGTATTTATCCTCCATGTTTGGATCTATTTATATTTGAGATGGAAGAGACTGCGCGTGTGTGTGTGTGTGTGTGTGTGTGTGTGTGTGTGTGTGTGTGTGTGTGTGTGTGTGTGTGTGTGTGTGTGTGTGTGTGTGTGTGTGTGTGTGTGTGTGTGTGTGTGTGTGTGTGTGTGTGTGTGTGTGTGTGTGTGTGTGTGTGTGTGTGTGTGCGCGCACATGTGTGTGTGTTTGTTTCTTTATTTTATGCTGTTGGAGGGGAGAAAAGGACAGGGGGACAGGTTCAGGGGACAGCTTTGTGGTTCAGGGGGTATTCCTGCTGGGGTAATGTGTTTAAAATCTATTACCCCCACAGCTAGGATTAGTGTGTGAGTGTGTGTGTGTGTGTGTTTCCCCTAAAGACGTAATCACTATGGTAATACAAAAGGCAGTGGATTATGGGGTAGAAAAAAATCTGGTTGATTTCTACTCTGCCTCCGGTAAGATATGTACATATACAGTATTGAGAAGCAGGAGAGAGAGTCTTGACTGTATTTTTATTTATATATGTGTTTAAAAATACAAACGTATGTAGCTCATACATTGGTTAGCACAGAGCTAGACAGGCTGCAGTTTGTGACCTGGCTGGCCTGAGCCTTTCAGTGGAGAGTTTGAGGTGTTGGTGTGTTTGTGCTTGCCTCAGACTGCCGACCCGTCTACACTGCTTCTTCTCCGGTGTATGCTGGGATAGGCTCCAGGAAAGAGAAAATGATTTGGTTAATGGATTACTCGATTAACAGCAAATTCATTGTTAATAAGTTTGATACTCAATGAATTGCTTTAGTCAAATGTAATGATATTTTTTCTGGTTTCTGCTTGCATCTTTGGGACCTTACCTTGGGACTTTTTCAGTTATGTTCAGACTTATAAACTAGATGGATTCCAACTCCCTGGTTATAGTTTTTTCCAATTACCTGCTCTTTTGCCGCGGCAGCCATTTAAATTAGTCAATTAAAACTGAATTTCGTCTGATGAATTAAAAGGAAACTCTTACCTTCTAAATGTAATAGTAATAGTAGCACAAACAGAATCATGTAAAGGGTTAAGTTTCTAGAGTATTATAGTATAACCAGTCCTATTCTCTTTCATTCGTTTTCCTCATATACTTTCATCTCTCAGGGGAATATAAGTGGTATCCTTGAATGAGGATACCAGGGGCCTGCGTCAATAATGAATTGAAATCCCCTCATTTACTTAAGATCTTAGCTCACTCTGACCCGGGTGGAAATGGGCGAAGTTTGCATTTTGTAATTGTCACACTCGATCCAATTTGCTGAGCAAGAACAATCAGGCGCAGAAGAAAACTTTAAGTATTTGAGATAATAAATTCACTCCAGCACTTGTTGGATCCTAGTCCAGAAAGTGTAAGATTGCTGAAGTTAATATATCACAACCAAACATCTTATACAATAATGGTAACATCAAAATTGAGGACATAACAATTGAGTAAATTAGGATGTTTTAATAAGTGTCTTTTGTGGATCACTAGTTTTTATCCATTGCATATAGCTAAAACATCAGTTGGTTAGATCTCTAAACTCCTTGTCTCCTCATTGCCTCATCAACCTTCATTTGGTCACTCACATTTAAATAACTTTATCTTTGTCTCAATTCAGTGCCTGGACCCTCATTAAATGTATAGGCAGCCATAGTATTTCCTCATCATAGACCTTTTTTGTATTAATTTTAAACTGTATCTTTTGTCTTTCTCATGTCTAGGACATGGCGGGGTGAACCAGCTTGGAGGCGTGTTTGTGAACGGCAGGCCCCTCCCAGATGTAGTTCGACAGCGAATCGTGGAACTTGCCCACCAAGGGGTCCGGCCCTGTGACATCTCACGCCAGCTACGAGTGAGCCACGGATGTGTCAGCAAGATACTGGGCAGGTAAAGGACACACAATCACCCACAGCCATATGATGGCTAAGCCTTCACACCCTTTTCACACACTCAACAGTGTGACAGAGTGGTTGTGTGACCTGGCACGGCCTTGGCGGTTGACTAAGGTGTACAAATATTGTTGATCCTGGTTTGACGCCATCTTGTAACCAAAATGAAAATATTTAAATTTCTGTATGTATGAAACATTACAGCTAGAAGTATCTGGTTCAATTTTAGGTCATCCTGCTGAGTTTTATGAATCAATACACAGGCTTTACGTTCGGCTTTGGCTTAGCATGTGTCAAACTGAAGCTCCTGTAAGGTCACACCGACTCATTTAGTGTCCATTCTGCCATTTCTTGCACAAGCTGCATTTAAAGTGCCGTTGTTTTAAAGCTTGCGTCTTTTTTGCCTTTTTAACCTTCCTCTCCCCTCTCGGTATCCTATATTTCTAATACGACCCCTCTCAATATTTCTGTGTCTCTGCTCACCCCCTGTTCTCTCCATCTCTGCCTTTTCAAGGCTAAATTCAAGAGTAAATCCCTGCTCGTTCCGTCCCCCGGAGAAGAAAGGGGGACAAAAGGGAAAAGATTCATCACTTTTTGGAATTAGCATCAAAATGAAAGTGGCACCATATTTCTGCACCCCAAAAAAGGGGAAAGAAAGACAGAGGGAAATGGAGAAAAGGGAGAATGACAAGAACAAGGAACATAATCAAAACGGGGAAAAGCGTGTTAAAGAAGAAGAGTGCAGGAAAAAGCAAAAAGACAGAGAGACCATTTGAGGGGACGGAGGGGAAGGATTAGCTACAGCGACCCTCAGCTATATCAAAAAAATGTGTTGCTCATTGTTCTCCCCTGCCTCTCTTTCTCTCTCTGTCTTCCTCTCTCTCTCCCTCTCTCTCCCCCTTCCTGGCCGTTCAACTCACTGAAGCGTTACTGTGAGGGGGGAGGAGAGGGGATCGAGGGATGGAAGGAGGGAGGGAGGGTTGTTTTATCCTCTCCTCTCTGTCTCTCTGGTGCCAGCAGAACAAAAACACCAACTCCGTGTGTCTGTGTGTGTGTGTGTGTGTGTGTGTGTGTGTGTGTGTGTGTGTGTGTGTGTGTGTGTGTGTGTGTGTGTGTGTGTGTGTGTGTGTGTGTGTGTGTGTGTGTATTAGCTCATCGTTTGTGCGGATATCAATAACCATGCTCGTTTATTCACCAATGATTCACCTGTGAATAATTTAAATAGTTTTCCATTTGGAAATAGATTGTTTTTTCCTTTAGCTGTGTTTATACTCCAGCTGTGAATAGTCAAATTGTGCAACACACACACATATGCGCAACTCACACACACAAAAAGAGAGACAAGGAAACGCACATTTAAAGGAACACACATCTTCACGGAAGGGATAACTCTACGGTACAGCGGTGGAGAGAGAGAGATAGGGAGAGAGAGAAAAAGGGGGAGAGCAGGTTTAAGACTGACTGACAGCTTGCATCCACACACAGCATCCCCCCTTTTTCTGCGAGCTGCAGCGCATTTGCTGTCCCCCCCTGCCCCCATGCCCCTTCTGCATGCAAATACATTCATGAAATAGCCATGGTGGACATGAAACGCCTGAATCTGTGCATGTGTGTTTGTATTTGTGTGTGTATGTGTGTGTGTTTGGTATCAGTGCCACCCTCTTCCTACCTCTGTGTCACAATGTGAAATTGCCAAAGACACAACAAACAACAGTCAGCCATCATCAATATGTTTGGAATCACATCGATCACTGTTATCAACAGTTTGTTCTGATGACGTTGGGCATCATTACAAACAACTTGTAGTGAGGTTTTTATTTTTACTAAAATTGAATCACTGACAACGATAACAAGGTTTCATGCAGTGAGTCCAGAGAAACCTCGTACATTTTTGGTAATATGATTAACTATTGACATTAACATTATGATTACCATGTCTTCTCTTTATCTGTACCCTGTGTACCAGATGTAAACAGTTTTTACTCTTTCACCCTGGTGAGAACTGTATGGGTTTACCAATGAGCCTGACTAATTTAGGCATTGAATTTAACTTATTCTGCCTAAGAGTGCCTGGAGAAAGTCTTCTTTTCTAATGCTAGTACCAAAGCAGCAGCATAAACAGTTGCCTACAAATGCAATCTTAGAGAGGAACCGATATGAAAAAGACAACCAAACTAAAAGTTCAAATAGAGCTAACAGCGGAGACAAATACCAATGGAGTCCAATACCATTGGGTTTACAATAATCCTTAATGTGGCCAGATATCAGTAAAAGTATCAAGGACAGGCTATACAATATAGCAATCAAGTTTTCAGAGTTAATAGATATCGCAATTGTAATAAAAAAAAAAAGTTCTGTCTTTTCTTCACATCACATTTAGACTTAATATTACTAATGATTATAGGTTTAAGTTTCTTTTAAGAATATCTCAATACATTAACACATTATTGGCCACTTTAGCTCATTCTCCTGTCCACACTGAAACCTTGTGAATATAAGAGGTGGGTGACACAATCCACATTCTTTGTTCTCAGCAAAAAAACACTGTGACGTTTAATTATAGCTAATAGAAATACACAGCAGTATCAGAGTTAAACAAATCTAGTGAATATCTTTCAAAGTGTTCGTCTTTTTAGAGCAAATTCTCTTTATGTTTCGGAAGAAATATGACTGCAGTTGAAGGATAAACTGTAAACAACAGGGGAATTTCTCACTGCAAATACTCTGACTTTGGAAGATAATCACTTGATTTTTTAAATCAGAGTCATATTAGTCTCAGTTGAATCCACAAAAAAGGCATATTTGCTCAAGACAAGCTCTGTGTATTTTGCATACCATCGATCAGCTCACTTCTCTTTGTCAGTAAGGACAGTGAGAATGTGGACCAACCTATCCATCAAGAAATAAAACACCACGAGACTGAAGGTTCATCTTTTTCAAGATCAGGGGCAAATAGAGGAGGAGGGTGAGGGGGACAGGCCAGAGATACGTGAAGTGTTTTAAAATCATTTTGAATTCAAGCCAGAAGGAAGCCCTGACAGCAGTGGGAAGGTCGTTCTTTTACTGAGAAGGCATATAGGGAAGAGTTGAGACTGGGTGATACAATGTCCACACCACGAGGAGTAAAGTGACAAGATTGCACAAAATCTAAATCTGAGGAAGAAATGCAAAGAATGTGCTCCTGTTAGACTGATTTTAGCAAAAAAAACGCTGTTGTTAACCAACTGTATGCTGTCCAAGCAATATCTCCTTAGGAGATTAGTTATACTAATACAACTTGTATAATTGTAAGAGCAAGTTGTGTTCAAAAGATCCAGAATAATGTTCTTAGTAAACAGTATACATGGTTAAAACATAGAGAGAACATATGTATACATTGTTTTCATCAAATGTGCAGTCTCATTTGTGATAAAGAGTATGAGAAGACATTCTGTTGCACCATGGGTTGGTTAAAATTGTGATATTGCCTTTTTTTATTATAAAATCAACACTGTGGCACTAGCAGTAAAAGATTCAGAATTTACAAATGTTAACCTTCTAACAGCTTATTTCCTACACTTCTAAAGAAACAACAACCTTCTTGTATTGCCCATCATGACCAACGCGAGCATCTTCTGCGCTTTGATTGGCAGGTACTATGAAACGGGCAGCATCCGCCCCGGGGTAATCGGGGGATCCAAACCAAAGGTTGCTACTCCCAAAGTGGTCGACAAGATCGCCGATTACAAACGCCAAAACCCCACCATGTTTGCCTGGGAGATCCGGGACAGGCTTCTGGCCGAGAGAGTGTGTGACAACGACAGCGTCCCCAGTGTCAGCTCCATCAACAGGTACTACTGTCTGAGTAAATGTGTGTGTGTCTTTGAGGATCAACTCATAGCAACAGGTACTGAAAGAAGGTAGAGCTCAGAGCAAAACTAATACAGAGTGTTTTGTGTGTGTGTGTGTGTGTGTGTGTGTGTGTGTGTGTGTGTGTGTGTGTGTGTGGTGTGTGTGAGTGTGTGTGTGTGTGTGTGGGTGTGGGGGTGTGTGTGTGTGTGTGTGTGTGTGTGTGTGTGTGTGTGTGTGTGTGTGTGTGTGTGTGTGTGTGTGTGTGTGTGTGTGGGTGTGGGGGTGTGTGTGTGTGTGTGTGTGTGTGTGTGTGTGTGTGTGTGTGTGTGGGTGTGGGGGTGTGTGTGTGTGTGTGTGTGTGTGTGTGTGTGTGTGTGTGTGTGTGTGTGTGTGTGTCCGGGAGAGGAAAAGAGAATGGCAAAGAGGCCCCGGTCTCCATATGTATGAAGTGGCTGCAGCTCAGTGGTTCAACACGATGGTACAATGACAACCCTTTCCCCTGAGCATAGAGCCAGAGAGAGAGGCAGGGATAGTGAAATAAGAGAGAGAAGGAGTGAGCAAAAGAGGCAGACAAAAGGAAAGGAAGGTGTGCGAGAGAAAGGAGAGCAACAGATACAAAAGGGAAGGAAAGAAAGGAAAAGGAAAGGAAATGAGACAACATGAGAGGAGAGGAAAAGGGGAGGAAAGGAAAAGAAAGGGAAGGAAAGAGGAAGAAAAGACTTGCATGAGCAGCCAAGCAGGAAGTGTGAGGCCCCTCTGCCATGTCAGCCTGCCACCACACACACACACAAACACACACACATATACACAGACACACACAGTTTAGCTCCCACGATGGTCATGTTCTCTCTGTCACTCAGAATCCTCTCACACAAACACACACACACACTAATATCTCCTCTCTCCTCCTGCAGGATCATTCGGACAAAGGTTCAGCAGCCGCCCGGCCAAACGGGCTCAATGTCGGCTCACAACTTAGGTAGGTCTGCTGCTTTAAGAAATCCTGTTTCAAACTGTCAAAGCAAATTTTACAGCACGGCCGTTTTTGTATGATTCTCTCAGGAGCTGGTGTGCCGTGTGTGGAACAAAGCAACGTATTGAGATTCTGAACTCTAACTCACGGTGTGAAATGTGTGCCACAAATGTCTTTGCTTGAATGTTTCGATCAAGATGTCCCAAAATGAACAGTCTGAAAGGGAAGTTAGTTAATTTACAAGTAGTTCATGTATTGCTTATTACTGTAAACATTATTTAATTTATGTGATGGTTTGGGGTAATTATTTCTTAAACTACATTTGTTATCTTCTTGTTGTTGAGTATAAAGTGAACAGTTGAACAGTTGAGTAGAAAAAAGTAGAATCAGTAACAGAGGATCATACAAAAGAGGTGTCCAGCTTATTGTACATAAAACAATCATCATAATCATTGATAAGTCTCCTAATGGATATCATGATTCTGAAATGCCTATAACGCAAAATGTTTAAATTACAGCAGTGCTGGATTTATAAATCTGACTTGAAGTAACTACCCTGAGGTCCACTCAGAGGCTACAAAGGCCAACATTATCCACATGTTGGATTTGATAAATTGCACATTTGCTTTGGAATATGTGCCTCTGAATCACATAATCATTAAAAAATGATAAAATCTGTATGGCAGATATTGGATTATGACTGATCGTGTTTACTGTAACTGTTTTCTGACTATTCCTAAATGAGTTTGTGTTCAACCGAATGATCACAAACATGGTTTCAAAGCTAAGTGCCGGTTCGTGGGATAATTCCATCATAAAGTAGATCGCGAGGACATTAAAGTGTATAGGTAAAAAAAAAAAAAATGTCTGTCACTAAAGAGGGAATTTAATATTCTTGATCAAAAGACTCTTGAATCTCCTCCTTAAACATGGTTTGGCTGCTCATTGTAGTTTCTAACCAGTTACAGTTACAGACAAGCAGTATATCTATTACAGCTATGCCTGAAACATTATTTCCTTTTCCTCGATGAATATCTTAGAACAAATACATCTGAAAGCTTCTCTCCCTCTCCTCCTCTCTTTGCCCTGCAGTGGATTGTGTTTCGGTGTATCTCATATCTTCATAATCACACATTGTCTATTAATCTAAATTAATTTCACACACACTGCTCCCTGACTCCTGCCTTTACACACATTTAGCAGGCGCACACACATGCATGCACACCTAGATGCAACCAGACACACACACACACACACCCGCACGTACACACGCTTACAGATTACACAGATAAATGGGTCCCACTCCCAGGCGGAAAATTGAACATTTGGATTTGCTGAATAAAAGCGTTACGTCTGATAAAAAAAAGAGTGAAAAGAAAGAGAAAGGAAAATCAGATAATTGAAGTGCTAAATCAAGTGATGGGAAAAGGAGGGATCTGCATTCATTATACTCTCCTTGTCGTTAGCGAAGGAGTAACAGCTGGAAGGGACCTTGATCCTTTGCTTTATCGTTTCCTTTTATTCCCCTTTCGGTCTTGTCTTTCTGTGTTTGGGGGTCTGCTGGGAGAGAGGATTAGGATGTCTGTCTCCACACCTTTCTGTCCCTCCTGGGATACCATACTGTCACTCAACCCCATGTCCGCTTACAGGGGCACAGATAAGGGACCGAGGAATGAGTGACTGTATGTTTTGGTGTGTGCGTGTTTGTGTGTGTGTCAGGAGGTTGCACAATGTGTGTGTTTGTCACTGAAGCGGTGACAAGTATGTCGCTGTGTGCGAGGAACTTGTCTGCTCCAGGGGGAAGATTAGAGGTGGAGACAACGAAGGGTAAAACGCAGACCGACTCCTGTCCTTTGTGGATTTGTTTGGGTCTGTATGGCTGAGTAAAAGTTTTAGAGGATTAAAGTGCCTCTATGTTGAGTTTAAGGATTTCACTCATAGTTTTTTGTTCTGTATCTTCGATTGTGAATGTGTCACAAATAACTGAATGAAGACATGTGAGTGTTACTCTTTAAGTAAAAAAAACAACAATACAAAACAGCTGGGAAAGAGGTAGCAAATATATATCGTATGTAGTTGCAAAGGTATCAACAATACATATGCAGAAATATCAACAGTTTTTGCGTGGGTCAGCAATTCAATATTTCATCTCTCTGTTAACTTTTAATAGTTCTTCCCCCTCGAGTGTTAGGTGGCATCATGTTATCATAAACAGTGCCATTTGAATGATGATCTAAGATGTTGTCCTTATGATGCTCATCATAAACATAACTTTTAATGCTTCAAAATAAACATTAAAAGTTATATTTTTTATTTGCCGATGAATTTAATCTAAGTTTCTGTCTGCAGCCACTTCTGTAGCGGCCACACAAGTGTCGGGAGTGACCAACGACTCAGCCGGCTCCTCGTACTCCATCAGTGGCATTCTGGGAATCAGCTCATCTGCCGATGTGGGCAAGAGGAAGAGAGACGAAGGTGAGCAAAATAATATGTGTGTGCGCGCTTGACTGTATTTATTTTAACCCCATCTTTTGCGTTTTTATAAATTTTAATAGAAATAACTTTTCCAAGTGGACTTAAATAATATACACAACATTCATAACTGCGACGGCCAGCCTCACAACCCCCTCCCTTCTCTCCCACCATGGAGAGCCCAGATGGGAAGAACTCGGATCAATGACAGATGTGTGTAAGAGTATGTGTGCAGATGCAATGTGGGAGTTCTAAACCAAACATCTTCATTCAGAGAGCCCTACTTGTTTACTAACGGTGCTTCACTGGAGAGTTACCTGAGGAGTCAGTTTATGCATGCACTATCGATCATATATGCTGTCATACCGGATCAATGGTGTACGTATGTTAATGTGGGTTCTGAGCTTGTGTGTGTATATGGGGGTTCTCACATGTACTGTATGTATATGTTTATGTGTAAATGTGCATGTTTGTGTGTGTATGTGGCAGTGTCAGTGGCATTAAAAAGCAATCACACAGACAGTCTCCTACGGTAAATGAGACAGGACCAGATGTCGGAGCGAAGGGGGGTGACAGAACGCCACTGGGGGCTATTTCTCGCTCTCTGTGTCTAACACACGGACACACACACACTCATACAGTATGGGGTCCTTTTCCCACTGTTGATGAATTTCCCAAAACATTCCAGCAGGTTCCAGGATAAATCCCAGGTGCACCTTGAGCATTTTGATATGCTCGGATACAGCCCACTTACCCATCAGCAGAGCACAAAGACTTTAGACCTGACACACACTCAAACACACACACATGCACTCAAACACACACACATGCACTCAAACACACACACATGCACTCAAACACACACACACACACACACACACACACACACACACACACACACACACACACACACACACACACACACACACACACACACACACACACACACACACACACACACACACACACACACACACACACACACACACACACACACACACACACACACACACACACACACACAGTATAGGTGAATAGAGATCACAAACTCCACTTTCTCGACACAAGGGAAGGAGTAGATGTTAGGGTGAACACATGGTGGATAAAAGTTAAGCTTGTTTTGTATCCCTCAAAAAATTCTGACATATGAAGTTAATAAAAAAAAAAGAGGAAAAGTCAAAATATCGCAAAAAGTGTATACAAATATTGCAGCAGAAGAAAAACCATCAGACTTTTGTAGATTCATTAGAACATTATAAACTTCCTTAAATTGATACATGATATAAACATAAATGCCATATTTCCCCAAAATTTGACTGGTGCTTGGTAACTTGAATTAAATGTTATTGTTGTTCGCCTAAAATTGTTTAATAGTACCCGTTTGGAGAAATAGTGCCATCAAGTAGAAAATATCCATTTTCTTTTAAAGAAATTCAGGATATTCAGTTAGAAATTACCAAAAATAAGGAAGGAACCTTGATTATAGTGGCCACAGAGCACATCATATAATTATTTCATAATGCTCAATTCTGGTCTACATTTGTTCTTTCCACAGCAGACATTTTGAATTTTTATAGAATGAAAAGCACAAGAGTGACTTATATTGTTTCAGACGTTTGTTGTCCACAGTTTGACTGCTAGTTTATTGAAATGTCTTACTGGGAACGAAGCCATAGTAAGTGTTATTAGATACATCTTTGAAAAAAGCTATAATAATTCAAGATGTATATTAGGGATCTACTTTTCTTATAAAGCCATATTGCATTGACGAGAATAATAAGTCATGTATAATTACACAAATGTATCCAACATTACTATGTGTGATCTGCTGTCTGTAGCACAGACACTGTGGTCGAATCTACAGTTGAAATCCAAGCTCTGTTATCTCATTAGGAGCATTATTGTTTCACTTTGTTCTCACATGACGTGCTAAACCATGTGCTACATGTGTGGTCTGTTTTGTTTTTTTATACTACTGGACGCTGTGTTTCACAATTCATATTGAAAGTATTGTATCACGTTTCACTGAAGCGTCCACTAAGCATTGTGTGGCTCCGCGTCACGTTTGGCTTGTGTGTTTTATCTGCAGTGTTCCTGTGGCAGAGGTCTGAGCGGTTGGCTCTGTGGTCTAATTAACAGCATTGCTAATCACAGCTTCCATTAGAGCAGCCCCCGCTGGATAATGACACACACACACAGCACGGGGCGACAGGGGGGAACAGCATGCACTGACATGGACACACAAATACAGACACAAACACACAATAATGCAAGCTTCTCACACACAATCTCCCATATGCTTGTCGGTACAAACATTTGTACACAGAAGGAAAAAGACATAAACAAGTCACACACACGCACACGCACACGCACACACACACACACACACAGACCCACAATCACACACAGCTATGGCATGTTGACTTTGTCGTTATACTGCATATTTCTCTTAGTACGGGTGAATATGTTACATTATGCAGTAATAAGACAGTGTTTTATAGGCCTGATAAAAATAAGAAAACAATGTTTTTGCTGCCCAAAAAAACCCTATCAGGAAAGATCAATAAAGTACTATCTTATCTTATCTATTTAACTCAAATGCTAAATAATGCAAGGAGTTTCCTCATGTCTTGACCATTTTGTTGGATTTTATTTTTATAATTATAAAAGACATGAGGGGATTTCCAGTATTATTTTGCATTTGAGAGAATCCTTCTTTCTCAGTTTGTTTTGGAAATCAACCAGTCTTTTAGACCTTTTCACAGCAGAGATTTTAACAAATCAGAAAGGCAGGAAATACACAGGTGCAATTATAATATTATTGGTAGCTGAATTCCATTAAGTTGTTCCTCTTCAACAACAACCTCACATACAGTAATGTGTAATTGTTTACTAGTATGGCTCCCTTTGACGCTACTGTTGGTGTTATTTGTGCCACCTGTGCTCTGATAAGTCAAAATGTCTGCTGCCAAAAAAAGTCAGGTAGGTTTTTGTGATATTATGTACTTGATTAATAAGATCATATCACATCTAATAATATCATATATGAACCTTTGTGCAGGAAACCTTTTATTTGTGCTGTAACCTTACAAGCACAGAAATGGCAGCTGTGCAACTGATGGGAACACTGGAAGGCGGGATCATGTTATGTGTGTGTGTCGGCAGGAGGAGTGTGTGAGGGTAATGCCCTGTGGTGACCTCTGCCCCCAGCCAAAGCGAGGGGAAGTGGGGGGAGGCTGGGGGCAAAATGTAGATGAATGGGAGTGAATGGAAGAACTTGACTTGTGGGGCCAAAAGGGGACTATTGTATCTTAACCTATTCTCTTACACAGCCTCTCTGTCTGTGTCTGTGCGTGTGTCTCTCTCTGTGTGTGTGTGTGTGTGTGTGTGTGTGTGTGTGTGTGTGTGTGTGTGTGTGTGTGTGTGTGTGTGTGTGTGTATACATGCATGCTCATTTAAAATAGGTACAGGTGTGCATTTTAAGGGAAACTTCCTTGAATAAAAAGTATTTTCAGTTTTATTGAAGAAAAATCCCAAGTGTACATGTATATAAAAAGTGTCGTTTGCATGAACAAGAAAGATTTACCCAGAATGCAAAGATGACCTCTCACCCCCTTGTGCATCCACTGTGACATGCAGCAGCTTAGCAGATAAAAGATGCTGGGTGTGAGCAAAAGATGGAGGATGGAGGAGAGGAAGGAGGGGAGCTCCGCCCTTTACTTAAGAGTTTCTCTCAGTGCCTCCCGCCCCCCCAAACTTTGATCTCTGGAGTTTGTCACACACACACAAACACACACACACACACTTCTATGCACACAAAACATGCACTGAAACACGCAAACAGGTGACAACCTATCTAATTCTCAAAGGTATTTGGATTTAATAATTCAACTGTTCTTGTGTTGTCGAATAAATGGCCACTACAGGCCTAGTCAGAGGGAGACGGTGTGGGATAGAGGGAGAGAGAGAGAGCATAGGAGATAGATAGTGAAGGCGGAAGAGAGAGGAAAAAGGAGAACAATAAGGGCTCATTGTTTGTTTTGTTCTGCTCTGAAAAAGAGGGAAGAGAAGCGCTTCCCTTCTGAGACTGACTCACAGAGGTAGAGGCAGCTGTGTGTGTGTGTGTGTGTGTGTGTGTGTGTGTGTGTGTGTGTGTGTGTGTGTGTGTGTGCCTGCGCACGGGTATCCAACAGTGAATAGGATTTAACCCGTCACGGCAATGAGTTTCTTTACCCATCCATGGATACAATGAGACCAGCCGGATATCAAACTACCCACCCACCCACACACACACACACACACACACACACACACACACACACACACACACACACACACACACACACACACACACACACACACACACACACACACACACACACACACACACACACACACACACACACACACACACACACACACACACACACACACACACACACACACACACACACACACACATGAATGGAGTATATTGATTATTACAAGTTAAAGATTTGCTTTTACCACTTGATTACAGTAGGTTCTGTCGTATCCTTCGGTCTGTACTTTGTAGACACTCCGTCATGAGAGACAAGGGTCAGACTTTCAGTGTGCATTCAGTTGTGTGTGTGTATTTTTGTGTGTGTGTGTGTGCGACAGACAGAAGCAGAAAGCAATAAGCTTGCTGAAATGGTGCCATCAGAGCTACATGATTGATCAATTGAATTCCATCATGGGGACTGGCCGGTGGGATTAAATGGGTCGCCGTGGGTTACCAGGCTAAAGCATCATACCGGCTTTATCTCCCCCCTGATTGGTCTGTCACCAGAGACCTGGACCATACACTCACACTGCTCCCAGCACCTGTATATGACTATGTGTGTGTGTGTGCGTGACTATAGACGAGAAAGAGAGATTATGATCAAGCAGTGTTTGTAAGAGAGTGGGTGAAAGAGGTTTTGTGTACTGAAAAGGTATGGCGAGGTTTTGTGAGTTATGCAGCACTCTGTGAGTGTGAGGTGTTTTTGTTGGCAGACAGATACTGTCTCCTGATTCCAGGTTCACTAGAAGTCTTTGCGGTGAACTGAAAAACACTCCTTGTGCCAATGACATTACCACCTGAACTCGGACAATAAAATAGTTTGCAACCAGTTGTAGTATTATACAGCTGGGAATTATTGATCATTATTTGATTAATTTATTGGGAGACATTATTTTCTGTCTAAATGGCTTTCCATGACAGACCTAGAGTTGTAATTCCACAGTGTGGCCACTATCTTATATTGGCTTTGAATCCTAGAGGTGTTCTTCGGGACCTGGGCAGGTGTACTGCCTCACATGATGGCTCTCGAGTCAGCATTAATAAATGCCACTAGAAATGTAAAATGAAATAATCTGCTTACAAATAAGAGTATCCCTGGTTCTGCTTTGGTTATGATCCTTTTCAAAATTAAAATAAATTGTGTTGAGTACTCTTGGCTGTGGTTTGGAAATAAGGGATGGTAATGGATAATAAGAGCCAACTTGTAATGAAGTGTAATTATCATGTAATGTTGAATGTGGTCAAATTCCCTGAAGCACTTGTTCTAGTTTGTCCACTTTCTTTTTTTTTTTTTACATCAGTCTTTGTTTTTCTTTAGGATCAGAGTCTTGCACAAATGGATCTGTATTCCCTGTCCAAATGAAAAAAAAAATTGAAGCTCCTTCCCCCTCTCCAACTATCTGTCATATCAGTGTCTCTGCCACCGGACACACACTCACACACTGACATAAACACACGCCACACACCAAACACACACTCCCACACAAAAAACGCACAGTGACCCCAGGACTAAAATAGGCTCTCAGGAGCGGTTTGAAGCAATGAATTGGCTCTATGGAGGGGGATGTTCACCCTCATCCCCCTTTTTCTCTTTATCTTTCTCTCTGGTTCTCTCTTTTCTAATCATTTGTGGGCCGCGACTCTTCAGAGTTCTTATAATTGTCTCGTTCAGTCCCTCAGCCTTGCAATAACTGCAGGATACGAGAGCTCACGGTCTAATACTGATACCCCAGCAATATATATGTGTGTGTCTGTGTGTGTATGAGTGATACGACAAGAGGAATGGAGAGGTGTGTTATATATGAGAGGCGAGAGTGTACTTTTGAGAGATCAAGAATGAGAGAATTGGATTGCATTTGTATAGCATTTTCTCTGAGTCTCCACAATCTATGAAGTCACTCAGTCCAAAATCAGCTCAGTGGGGTTCATATGAGTCCATACTTTGCTCCAACTTCTCTCTCCACATCTGCCTCACTAAATTATTTCATTACTTCATTTCTCCATCATTGCCTGAGACTGGTTTCTCCCTCTGCAATTCACATTAGACTCAAACCCTCTTTAAACCTCCTCTATTTCTCTTTTCAGCCTCATAGTCCTCCATTGAATATCCTCCATGTACAACCTCTCTAACCACACTCCTTTCTCCTGTCTTTCTCATGTAGGATTACAGGAGTCGCCGCTGGCCAACGGGCATGGCCACAGTGGGCGGGACTTCCTCAGAAAGCAGATGAGAGGGGAGCTGTTCTCGCCGCAGCAGATCGAGGTATTGGACCGCCTGTTTGACAGACCATGTCCAATCCAATCCAGCTCTGACCTCTATGTGAGCCCTGACTCTGGCAAGGTAAGGGCATGGCACCGCAGGCTCTGGGCCGAGGCTGAGTTTGAGAGTAGGTTGAGGGTACGACACAACTTTAAGGTTCTTTAATGCTAGGTACCACTAATGCAAACCGAAGATTTCACATGCTTGCTGCGCTAACTTTGACGAGATGCCACATATTTCCGTGCCAGTAAATAACGGTCTAGACCTGGTAATCCCAACAGTATGTAAACAATATTGTTACTCGCAGATGCAAAATCTGACCAGAGGTAATACATGAATTAAACACAAAAATGATAATGTAAAAGAAACAAGAGTATGCAGTGAGGCGATATTCATAGATTGATTAAGGATTACTACGAACATTTTCTAGGATTAGTTACAGAGGGCAGTCTTAAATCTATGGCGCTCTAACCTGGATTTTCCTTGGTATTAGCTTGGTAAACAAGTTATTTGTCAGTGAATACAAAGGTTGTTTGTTTGATCTACAAATATCTTGTTTGTATTTAGAAAAGCAACTTCATTCATACAAATTACAAACAATAACGGAAATGCTTGCCTCTGCTTTTAGCTAACAGCCTGTCCATCCTGCTACGCCTTGCCATGCCTTGCCAAACTCAAAGAAATTAGTCGGTCTGTTCAGAAAATCCCAAATAAATATTCCTAATGCTATCTCCCCAACAATGCAGAATAATTGCATTTTTTCCTGGTTCATCTGTTTTGTTTTTCCACTGAGAGATGTGAAAATGACAGCATCAAGTCGT